AAAACTGCGGGGAATTCTGCAAAAAACGCATCTTCGCACGGGCAGCCCGTGCGTTGGCCAATTTTTCAGAAAATGAGTAACTGATCCTGGCTATTCTAGTGGCAGCAGACAAATGCTGAAAAAAATGAGAATTCCCAATAATCAATTTTTTGTTCAGTTTTTGTCTATGAAGTCAAAAGAACGCTTTTTGCAGGTTGTTGCTTACCAGGATTGCCGGGACCGGATGGCTTACCGGGCAAGCACGGTATTCCAGGACGTCCAGGCGCTCCTGGTCCTCAAGGATTTCCTGGAAGACCACCGGCGTTAGTTTACAGATGCAGCAAATGAACTTTTAGCACAAATCATTTGAATTAATGCTTTTTTCACGACAAATTCTCATATGAACAAGTTTTCCTCAGCAGAGGTATCAGATGCATATAAATATTTCAGGCTCTGCGAAGAAGCGACCGAACCTCCATGCAGCCCGTGTCCACCAGGAGAACCAGGACCACAAGGACCTCCGGGAGACCCAGGTGTTTCCCGTTTCGGCTTTGATTTATTTTTTGTCGAATTCGGTTTTTTTACAGTAAACGGTTACAGAAGAGGGCATTTGCTGCGATTGGACTGATATTTAAGATTAATAAATCCCAGATAAAGCGCTTTTGGACTCAATTTTCATAACTTAGTATGAGTTTTTCATACGTTCTGGGTTGTGTAACAACACCGCAAAACGCATTTTGTCGTGCCCTTTTTGTGTGTTTATGTGTGTGCGTGTGCTTTGTGTCCGAGTGCGTCTTGTTTCGCACTTTTAACTCGGGAATCACAAAAGCTAAGAAGCTAAAGTTTTAGGGCAACGTCACCTACCCAAGTGTGACCTCGCAAACTTAAATTCAGCTTTCAATTAGGCCTGGGTATCCCCTACGGCTCTGCGAAAATTTTGACAGGAAAAACTATTATCTCGCGAACCAGAAGAGCTAGGAAGCTGAGATTTAAGGAGGATGTTTGCTGAGCTAGGAAGGCGAAATTTAAGGAAGATTTTTCAAACTCAAATTTATCTCCCAATTATGCCAGAATCTCAAGTACGTCGCTAATTCGAAAACCAGAAAGCCAGGAAGCTGAAATTTTAGACGGATGTTCCCTGTTCATGTGTGATCCATGTGTGATTCAAGATTTCAAATTCAGCTTTCCCGTACACTTATATTTCACGTGTCGGTGCATGGAATTCTTAGTGAAAAATTTCGCAAATTAGGAACTAGACAATTATCGATTATTTTTGCGCATACCAAAGCGTAAAGCAGTGAAATTTCTTAATAAGCAAATGTCCGCTAAACTGAACTGCGCAGAAACCCATGATCGCACCAATTCTCTATTTTTATACCAACCTCACGATTTTAACGTCTCCAAGTGCAAAGCTCTTCTAGAACCTTCATTTTACTAGTGCTCAAAACCAGTGCACACTAGAATGTGTCAAAACAGTTGCAAACTTTAAAAGAAAATACATCATGTCCATAGTTTGCAGCTACTTTTATTTTCCATAAGAGGCATTTCATTAATTGTGAAGTTTTCTTTTTTACCACTATAATAATTTTATTAATTTTACAAATCTTCTAATTCCCATTTCCTGCCTTCCTTTTTGATACTTCTTATACTTTTCTACTATAAATAAATTAAAAAGAGAGATTTTCTACAAAGAAATGAGTGCTAAATCTCAACCAAATGGGTCAAAATTTTTGAGCTACAGTCTTTTATTGCATGACCCACACCGCAGTTTTTACAAAAGCTTTAATCCGTTTATTTCAGGTAATGCTGGTCCACCGGGACATCCAGGTCGAAATGGTAACGATGGGCCACCGGGACCAATAGGGCCGCCAGGACCACCAGGACCAAGGGGGGAACCAGGACGTGATGGACCACGCGGCGATGCCGGACGGCCAGCTCTTAATTCGCCGGCAACACCCGGCGATCCAGGTTTACCTGGAGAACCAGTAAGTGTATCTATTAGCATTCACCAAATTTGCAGTTCACTAAATTTCTGTATTATATACGCGTCGGGTATCAAAACAAAGACTAACCATACAGTCGATAATTGATATCTCATTTAACGATATCACTTCGATATTCCCGTGGGCTGTACACAGTTATGCCAGGCTCTTCGATTCTGGATTAGCAGGGTTAGCTATCACAGGATATTGTTTTAAATCGCCGCCCACAAACCTGAAAATCTTTCAGTGTTTGCTAATTGAAATCTCGCCTCGCACAAAATTAACGAATCTTGTTTATAGCGCGAGGTATCACAAAACATGTCTGTAGTGCAAAACTTTAGTCGAAAAATGGAATTAGACAATGAAAGACCCAGAACTTTCAAAAAGTAACACGCAATTTCGAGTCCAATCACTTTTTATGCTTTTTTTGCAGCTATGCAATGCAGAAAACGCATACGGACGGAGGATTGTCTTGTGTCCGTGTGTCTGTGTATGCATTTGTACTGATTTTTCATCTCAAGAACTATGAAAGCTACTGTAACTTTGGGAACCTAATCTACATATGCGTACGGGCTCCAATCTCCAAAATGGACGCCCTTACCCGCGTAGTACTCACGTACGAGCCCGCCAAAGTCTTTTACGGGTAAGCTGCTAGCTCGGGAACCAAAAATGCTGGGAGGTTGAAATTTTGAGGGGACGTTTCCTGTCCAAGTAGGCATTAATGAGCTAAAAACTCAGTCCCCGGGTAAACGTGGTACCTACGTACGGGCTCGTGGAATTTTTCTGGGGGTAAGCTGCTAACTCGGGAACCTGAGAAGCTAGAAGACTGGGATTTTGAAGGGATACTCCCTGACAGTCCTGGCGGCCAGTCTGAAATTCTTTTGGCTAGGCGCATCTGCCGGAAAAACCACTGCCGTTAGCGACAAAAATCTGGGGGAACTATGCAAAAAACGCATCTTCGCACGGGCAGCCCGTGTGTTGGCCAATTATTATAATTAAAGTAAAACAGTGCTAAGAGATGCTGCTAAAATCACGTATTCTTTTTCAGGGACCACAAGGATTGCCTGGTGATCAGGGTCAACCAGGACGTCCAGGATCGGAAGGACAGCAAGGAACACAAGGCCCGCCCGGGCCACCGGGACAACCAGGCCAGCCTGGTGAACAAGGACCAGAGGGACCACCGGGGCATCCTGGACCACAAGGCGAACGCGGTATCTGCCCGAAATATTGCTCCCTGGATGGTGGGGTTTTCTTTGAGGATGGCACAAGGCGCTAAATTGTACAATTCTCCCAACTGTTGCGTAAATTCATCAGATTGCTCATCTCTGTAACCACTGTACACTGGTGCTTTCGTTGATCCACATTGATCTAGTTACTGGATACTTGTTTCAACACCTCAAAACAGATAAGTCGAAAAAAAAAACATTTTTCTCACTTTTTTTGCGTGTGATTCGATCTTTTTTGTTGTTCGTTAACTGTTCTCTCAATGTTTTCCATTGGAGGCATTTTATATTGATGATTTGAGTGGAGGAATCTCAAAATTTCAGTCAAAAAAATGAGATAATTGAGTGCGAAAAACTCGAAATTTTCCACAATACCTCGGCTAGAAGAGGTTATTTTCGTTATTCTAATGCTCTGCTAATTGCAATATTACAGTTGTGCAAAGCGAAATGAAGCCGTCGCTCACTGTAATTAGTCTGAAAGCGCATACAAAGATATCATTTTCTGCATTTGCTACAACTAGTGTGAAAAAAGCAGTATGGAATGTACGCAATCATCCCAAGTTAAGCAGTGCAATAAAAATACGACGTAAAACGGAGTCTGAAGGAAGCATATCTCAAACGACAAATATTGCCGAGCAACTGCAATAACGTTTCTGAACAAGCGTGGGGTACCCAAACTGAAACATTAAGCGGAAACAAACAAACAAAAAGACAGACATATATATACATACATACGCGATATCATACACACATATAAAGATCGCTCGGGCAATCAGTGTGGGCATTCCATGCAAGCGGCATAGTGTGCATAATGTAGATATACAAAAAAACGTTGGCGAGCGAAGAGAAAAAAGAAACTTTGAATGATTAACGAAACTGCACGTATCACGTCGGAATAAAACCAAGGAGAGTAAAACTTTGGCCTTTCTGAACAAGCATGCGGTACCAAACCTGAAATATTTACTGGAAAAATACAAACAGAGATCCAGACATATACATACCTACATGCACCCATGCACACATACGACGATCTTCCGGGCTGCCAGTGTGGGTGTTCCATGCAAGAGACGCAATATGCATGATGGGAATATATGAAAGCACATCAAACGTGACAGGAAAAAGAAGAAACTTAGAAAACTTGGAGAAATTGCACGTGCTACGTCAAAGCACAAATAAAAAAGAGTAAAACGGGATTGAAATATATGAAATAATAGACCATAAGGACTGTACTCAGGTGTCATGTGTAAGGTGATATTTTACGGTGCAAACTTTCGTCGTACACGAGTAGGAAACCCTGGCTGGAACGCACCGGGCGGGCCTGTGCGATCATGCGTTTTTGCACCGGACTTGAACAACGGATTTTAGCCTTCCAGCTTTTCTGAATACCGAGTTAGCAATTTTCCCGCCAAAAACATTACATGTCCGTGCGTGAGTACCCTACGTACCTAGAAAGCTGAATTTAAAATTTTTAAATTGCACGTGGGCATGGAACATCACCCTAAAATTTCAGCCTTCCAGCTCTTTTGGCTGCCGAGACAGTAATTTTCCTACAGAAACTTTCATACGCCCTTGCGTGAGTGCCACTGATAGTTGGGGGCTGAATCTGAAATATTTGAGTTGTACTTCAATAGGGAACATTCCTCCAAAATTTCAGCTTTCTAGCTTTCCTG